AGTGAAAGACAAAGAAAAACAAACAGGATGTAGAACACAGACAAACCCCAACACTCAGAAGGAAGTCAAAATGACTTCAAACGTGTAGAATCTGCTGTTCTTCTATGCCTGGTAAAGTATCCCACCCCCCCAAAGACATCTGGAAGCATCTGGAAACGATAACTTACTCAAAAGACTGGTAATTCCTTTGCATGTCTTTGAATGCGCAGCAGAATGAGAAACAGAGCTCCTGGCTGTCAGTGAAAGGGTTTTACTTTCTCTTTCAAAAGGGGAGACGCTGTTCCAAAGGCCGCCACTAGAGGGCCCCCGAGCGCCTTTACAGCATCAGGATAAGCTGCAAGAAAGGTCGACTCCAAATGGGTTGGAAAAGGCCTCCTGACCATCCCCAGATTGAGGGGCAGCAGCACTAGTTTCATTCCTCATAACATGTCAGCACAAACTTCGAACTCCAGAGCAGTAAAAAAAAAAAAACGCTCTCTTTCTCGAGGTGCTCATAAGTGAGTTGCTTCGTGGCATTTTCATACCCGTGCAATCACAACTCCATGTGCACTTCGAGCTCAGTCTTTGAGCTGCAGCTTATCTGGGACTGCATTCACCTTTTTCTGAGAACTGTTGAGGCCCTGATATGCGTTTTACATCCTGTGAGGCAAAACGTCAGGACTGAGGGGCTTGTGATTATTCTGGGGTCGTGACTCATATTAATCCATCACTTGATTCAACAAGACATCCAAATGTGTCTTACAAATGGACTTTTGGCCTAAAAAAATTGCATTTTTTGTACTTTAGATCAGTGTTTTTCAACCACTGTGCCTCGGCACAATTAATTATCTGTAAATAATATGCCATTTTTGAGTGCCTGTGCTGTTCTAGTGACTGGTGGCGTAATCATGTAATAATTCCTTATGACTAGATTTTGTTTATAATTTTATATATTGAAGTGGACATGTTAAGAGCAATTTGAAAGAAGAAATATAAAATATGATAAAAATACATTTTGATTCCTATTCAAGACACTTAAGATAAGATAAGAATAAAATAAGAATAACTATTGTGTTACTATAGGCGGCTACAGAATTGTTTTTGGTTTGTGGTGTGCCTCGTGATTTTTTCTATGAAAAAATGTACCTTGGCTCAAAAAAGGTTGAAAAACACTGCTTTAGATGAAGAATGTGTGTAAAATCTTAAAAGAGCAGGTTTAACTTTTTTTTTATTAGCTTTAAATAAAAGAAAAGCGTGTTGCTAAAATGCTAAATGCTTCTTGAAAGCCAGCCCTCGATTATTATTCTAAAGGATTGTCTTAAGTGGAGGTTTTGGGTTGTTTTGTTTTTTTACTTCTATTCGCTCTTCCGCGTTTGAAGCGGGCCTGTCCGACGGCCCCTGAACGCGGCAGCAGATGCGGCTGGTGTTTGTTGTCTCCGGCAGGAGGGCGTTCCGCGGACACACGCACGTCCACCGGACACACGCACGCCCACCGGACACACGCTCCTCCGGTGGCCGGTGCTTCCCAGGTCGGTGCCCCGGGAGCTCCGGTGCTGACTGCGGGAAGAGGCCCTCCCGGACACGGGCCTTTCCTCCCGGTGGCTACCGCCGGTGGGGGTGGTGGTGGGGGGGGGGGGGGCGGGACACGGTGAAGAAGGAGGCCGGGTTTGGAGGCATGGAGGCCGGCCGTCCCCGCGGAGGCAGCGGGCTGTAGCACGGTAGGCTCCCCGGTGCACACAAACAATGGAAGGCGACCCGAAACAGCTCGTTGTCACCAGTTTTTATCCATCTTCAGCTTTCTGTTTTCTTCCCTATGGACGTCAGAAGCTGTAATTAAACAGTTTTGCTTCTTGTCCACCCCAGACAGAGATGGTGGTGGTTGGAAATCCCTCTTTTTTTTCACCCCAGTTCAACAGAAATGGCCGTTTTGGGGGGTTTTGTTGTTTTTTTTGCAGGGTTATGGAGTGAGAAAGGCATCGTCCACTTTAGGGTTTGACAGGGTTTTTTAGTTTGTGTTGCTATCTGATTGAAACCTTTAAATTAGCAGATGGAGGGATCCAACGTGCACACACATAAATAAAAAACACACTGTCAACACAGCAGGGGCTGGAGAGGCTTCTCATTGAACTTATTGTCAGATATTCAGACATTTCTGCATGATAGTTGATATGAAACTGATCAGGCTTAGCTTTTGGAAGCAGGATCATGATAATGAAGGAACTATATATAATATGCACACAGTGCAAAACTCTGAGATAGATATGATTAGAAAAAATTGAATTTGATGATGAATGTGTAGATTCAGTATGCAAAGGCAAACCTGATCAGAAACAGAGTGTTTACAGTATCTTACAGCGTGCGGTCAGTAGCTCTGGATACTTTTTAGACTTAGTTTAAATGTAAATTGAGTCTTTGCCCGCGTAGATACAGTTAGTTGGTCAAAAATATAGACGGTTTGTCCTTTAATTTCACATAGAACTGTCACCACATGGTTTTAAACTCGTTTCTCCTTCGTGGTTAAATAGTTTTCCTCTGTTTATTCTTTTTCTGCCATAGATGACCTCACAGAAGTAGTGAGAATGCTAGCAACCCGATTAAAAATGAACCTCCTGAGAGCCCAGCCTTTATTTGGTGTGCAGTTTAATAACTAGAATTTGTCACGGTGCAGGCAGGTTTCCTCCATACGGGGACAGTGGGTTTCTCTTTTTCTGTAAAATGCATTTAGTGTTAGGGTTAGGGTTAGGGTTAGGTTCTGAAGGTCCGAATTACTTAATTGCATAAATTGATATACCCAATAAGGAGGTGATTGGTTGAACATGTTTAAAACCATTTTTATTTTACATTTCAGACATTATTGTCTGACATCGTCTACTAAGAGGGCAAGAGGTCAACGTTGAAAAAAAAAAATCATGGTAAAGAGAGTCAACAACACAATGTCCTCATATGAGAATGCTGGCTCTCAGGAGGTCAAAATAGAGCCGAGAATGAGTGATTTTCTTTTTTTTTTTTAACATATCCTCCTGTTTTCTATGTCGTGATCTCATAGGTGATCTCTTCAGGGAGGCTGGCACTCGTAGTATGGACTCCACCCACATCGGAGGGGACATGTCACCTTTGTATGTGCCACGGAAGAGGAGGACCGTCCAGTCCCAGCCGAAGAGTGCTCCTCCATGTCCAGGTAAGAGATGGACAGAAACTCTGCATAGTAGCTAGGATTCTTCATCTCGCGCGTGTTCGATTTCCACTAAAAAAACAGTCTGAATTCTGAATTCTTCTCCAGCTGCTCAGCAAATTCCTGAGCGAGCAGCTGACCCGAGCACGGCGGAGTACCCAGAGGTGAGAATGACCCTTATAGCGGATTTATTCCTCCTTATTCCAGAGAGATGTGACGGTGAAAAGCTTTTCTGCTCTGGACGTTTTCAGAGTGAAGTCTTCCAGCAGCACGATGCCATGAAGATGAAAAGAATTTACGGCAGAAAGAGGTGGGAGGCCGATTACGGGATTGGAAAATATCTGAGTTACACTTAATAAAACTGTGTCTTTTTGTATTTTGGCATTTCAATTTTAGACATATGAACTGATTCAACTCAGTTGAATGACGATTTTCTGTTAAAACACATCTCTGTGCATCTAGAAACTGATAATTAAGACTAACTCCCCCCTTGAAAATGATCCCTTCCTGCTGTAAAAGTATTTAGAGGCAACTCCTTGCCGTGTTTCATATAAACAGATTTTTGAATATGTAAATGACTACCTGTGTGCTTTTGTTTTAAAGGCTGTTAAAAAGGACCACGCACGCTACGCAAAACAAGTTACTTAAGTTATCCTGTGCAGAAGAGAAAAGGTTAAATGTATGGGTGGGTGTGTGTTTGGGAAAGGTCAGGTGTTTCTGTGTCTTTGCCTGCAACATTAGGAATTTAAAATAATTAGATATTGTACGTTTGAAAGAGTGTTGTAGATTTAATTGATGGAAATATGAAGGTTGGTCAACCAGTTGAATCAGGTTGTTTAATCTTAGTTGCTTCAGTTGAAAATAGGTAAAACTACCAGGTTAAACGGCCTCTGCAGAGGGAGGAGTTGATGGCGAGCCTGTACTTGTGTTATTACACTGTTATTACAGGGTTATTATGCCTGTTTTCAGCTAAGCTCCAAATGCTAAATGTTATTAGAAACACACTGAATTTTTTTAACTTTTAGCAATTATTCTCTACCACAAGCAAAATGTGTCAAAGAGTCTGTGAGACCAGTTTTTATTATAGTTTTATAGTCTTTTAAAGCCAACTTTATAGTTATGTTTAGTTAGTAAATCACAAATACTACTTTTTTATTATATGTTTAGGTTCTATAATGTCAGATGTTTGAATGACTGAATGTGAAATCTTTCAAATTCGCTCATTTGCCGCCAGGTATGAGGACCTCCAGAACGTTTCCATAGCGACAGTGGATTACGCCACCAGCAGCTGCTCCATGATGTCATCGGCTGACCTGTCCAACGGGTCTGACCCAGGGACCACGGCCCCGCCTCCCAGACTTTTGCCAAAAGATGTGTGGCCTCCGGGCCCCGATCCAGTCCGGGACCAGGTCCAAGACCAGGTCCAAGTCCAGGTCCAGACCCACGGCCAGGACTGGGGCTCCGGCAGGGGCCAGGGGCCCGAATCCTGGGGGGGGGGACACCGGGGACACCCCGGTCACGAGCAGAACTGGATGCCCGGCGGGGAGCGGGGCCTTCCCGGGCCGGACCGGACCTGGATGGAGGCCCGGGGGCAGGATCCGGATCCGGATCGGGGTCAGGGCTGCTGGGATGGGGGTCAGGAGGAGTCCTGGGCCAGGGCGAGGGACCGGGATGTGCCGGGGGGGGCGGAGTCCGGGTGGGGCGCGGACCAGGGTCAGGAACAGACCTGGAGCTCTGCAGGGGAGCCCAGAGGAAACGTCTGGAGGCCCGGTGGGTACTCCAGGAGCGGGAAAAACCGAATCTGAGCCTCCTCGGTTTTGTGTACGTGCGGTTTTACACTTTTTTTTCCTTTGTGTCCAATTTCATTTTTAAGATTTGCACATGAAGAAAGTCCAGAGGCCGGAGGCGGGGGGGGGCCCTGCCGTCCACGACTTCAGACCCCCCCCAGAGGCCAGAGGCTCCTGTAAGTTACTTAATTTATTACCTTAATTAACTTCATACTTAACCCTTTAAAGCCTGATCCAAGAATAAAACAAAACAGAAAATTGCTGTTTTTTTGGTTTGACTTCCTTATTTGGCCTTTTAACAAAATATGTAAAAAGAAAAATATATTTTTATTATTAATAATTTATTACTATGCGATAAGTCAAGATTATTTTTTGTGTAGTCTTCTGCCCCCTGTTATCAGGTGTATCTGATTGTGTACAAATAGGATTTTGAGCAAAGTTTTTACCATTAAATTAAGCAAAAGGAGTCAGACGCACAGCGTTTCAGAAACCGTATGAATCAAATATGATACATTTGGCATTACAGGGTTCACTAAATGCATTAGTGCCATTATATGGCGAAATGAGGGGGGGATAACACACGTATGTCGTCATACGTTCACCTATGTGTCCCGACTCAGGTGCGGCTTCCACAGTTCCGCCCAGCGAAGATCAGAAACCTCTGGTGCTCCCCACCAAAAAGGAACCCCCCACCTATCCTCCAGGTGAGAGCAGCAGCTGGAACAGCTGGAATTAACTGGGTAGTCTATGTCACGCAGATTAAATGGGAGGACGTGTAAAATGAATAGGGTTAGTTAGGGTGTATTTTACTAAAGGTTCTACTAAAGGTGAGGCTGTTTTCAGTTAAGAGTAAATCGGTGAGGATATTAGCTGGAAATAAATGGAGGCGGTTTGGATTAGACAGATGTTTTGTGCTCCATCAGGAAGCCAGGAGGAGCGCTGGCAGCTCCAGATCGTGGCCAAAGGGAGGGTCACCTGTCCTAAATGTAAAAGTGTGAGTAGGAAGACCGTGGAGGGGCTGAAGAAACACATGGAGAACTGCCGACTGGTGAGTGCTGATCACAAACAGTCTTATTATTATCATACATAAGGGAGGATTTGTGCTCTTTCAGTAGTTTGGTTTCTCATAAATCAGCTGCCAGACAAACTGGTCATACCAGGCCTGGTCACAAGTTATTAATATATTATTGTGATCTCTATTTTCCATATTTGTCGCTGAGTTTGTTGTGTTTTTCTTTTTTTATGTGACCCGCCATAAAGCCATTGGCTCTTCTAAAAATAGTGACTAATTCCCAGTTTCTTTCTTGGCCTTGGATAGAACTGGGCTCTACATGAATGAACATAATGAATGTAAAATAATGTGACATTTCGTTCATAATTAAAAAGCTCAGGCTTTTAGAAGGACAACATATAAAGACAGGGGTTTAAACAAAGTGAGATCAGGCAGTTTATGGATTGAGATGAAGGAATAAACACTTAATTTGTATGTAAAAGGATTAATAACAATATTTGATGTCTAAAGAAGGGTACTGAGTGTGTTTCTGATAATAAAAACACCTTTTTAAAGACTTTAAAGATAGCTTTTCATTTATTAATGAGGTTCTAACTTTTCAATTATTAAAAAATAACTCTCAGAAGGAAGCAGAAACCTATGACTTGTTTAAGGTGATAAAGATGATCCTTTATGGTTTTAACTGTAAAAAGGCACATTTTTGGAATATGTCTTTATAATTTAAATCAAAAACAAGTTTTATTTCCTCAGTGATGACAAATGGACTGTTCACAGAGTTTAGCTTCTTTTAGCTTCAGGCCAGTAAATGAGCCACATGTAATTATTAGATTTTTCTAAATAACGGTTGCTTTTACTGGAATACTGACTCTGCTACTGGTCTGTTCCTCCGCAGCAACCCTTTACCTGTCAACACTGTGGGAAACAGCTCAAGTCCTCAACGGGGATGAAGTATCACATCATGGCTGACCACAGTCACCTGGTGAGCAAACAAAGAGACTAAAAACAGGGAATTCCTGGAACTGAAAGCACATTTTTGCTAAATGAATTTAGCTTTGTTCACTGTGCACTCTCCGGATTCTTAAAGATGATTTTGTTTCATTGGAGACTTTTTTTATTTATTTTATTCTTCCAGCCATCAGTGGACGACGTCAAGGACCTGGATGACCGGGCCCTCAAAGAAAAGCTGCGCAAAATCCTGAAGAGACTGGGCAAATTGAAATGCTCTAAAGAGGTAAACGGAGCCGCCGGTTCTCCTCAGGAGATCTGCTAAAGCAGCAAAACCTGTCTATTATCCCTTTAAAGCCCGATCCAAGAATAAAACTGAAAATGACTTTTTTTTGGTTTTGAAGTCTTTATTTGGCCTTTTACCAAAATATTTAAAAAGAAAAAACAGAAATACATTTTTGATATTAATAATTTATTACTATGCGATAAGTCAAGATTATTTTTTGTGTAGTCATCTGCCCCCTGTTATCAGGTGTATCTGATTGTGTACAATAGGATTTTGAGCAAAGTTTTTACTATTAAATTATGCAAAAGGTGTCAGACGCAAAACATTTCAGAAACCGTATGAATCAGATATGATACATTTAGCATTATAGGGTTAAGATACATATCTGTAAATACTATTTATAGTAATATCCACCTGTATATTATATTCAGTTCATATCCAGCTGTAAATTTAGTTCACAATACTAGTTAACTATATATTATATTCATAGGACAAATCTATCTGTAAAATTCTGATTATTATAGTATTTATCTCTATATTTATTCAGTACATATCCATGTCCTGTACTTATGGAACCATTGTATATCTGCATTTCTGGTTAGATCTGAACTGCCTTGTACCTGTGTAATGCCAATAAAGTGGAATCTAATCTAATCTAATCCAAAAGAGCCGGCGTTTGTCTGTCCAGGGCTGCAGCGCTGCCTTCACCAGCATCATGGGCTACGTCTACCACATGAAGAAGTGCGGGAAGGAGGAGTCGGAGCTGGAGAAGATGCTGCTGAGCTGCTCTCACTGTGGGAAGACCTACCGGTCCAAGGCTGGGCTGGAGTACCACCTGAAGTCCGAACACGCCCCCGTGAGTAACCTCCTGTTCCTCCGCCCACAAACCCTGAAAGCCTTTGAATCGCAGACCTCTCGCATCACTCTAAACACTGTTGAACACAATCTGACAGCACAACAATAAGCAGGACTTATTGCACTGTAACAAAGGATAAATATAGCTTTTTCACATTTGAAGTACCAAAGAAAGACTTCAGACTTGAAAACAATAAGTACAAAACCCGAAAGAAAGAAGCAGATTAGCCCGAATGCTGGTTCTAAAACTGTGAAGAAGGAAAATTTGAAGTGTGGGATTAATGTATTTGTTTGAGAATTTCCTCCCCTTTTCCTTCTTGGATCAGGCTTTAAAGGGTTAATGCTGCAAGTCATTTGTCAAATCTGTCAATTATTTAAAATTCAAGAATACTTAACAATGCTTTAAAATGCAATGGTGGCAAAAAACTGAATTTATCTCGATTTATTATGATAAAGGTTGGGATATTTTTGAAAAATAACTATTTCAAAGCACAGTTCATTCCTTGAATGTTCAGCTGGAGTTTCAAGCTGTCACATCTGGGGGAATGTCTTCTTCTTCTTCTTCTTGATTTTATTGGCGGTTTGCAACAAGCATTAAGCAGCATTACCGCCACCTGCTGGTATGGAGTGTGGTTCGTTATGGACCACCCCCCTAGATCATGCACCCATTCACACACACACCTATTTTAATCATATTCTTTTAAATATGGGGGAATGTCTGGTGTCTCGTCATGTCTTAATTACCTATTGTGTACACCTGGGGTTCCCCTCCCTCATGTGTTTAAATAGTCCTCGTTTCCCATGTCCTGTGCCAGTGCGTCTTCGTCACTTTTAGTCACCCCACGCCACGTCAGGTTTGATTTTTGTCACAGCCATGCCATAGTCTTGTTTTGTACCATAGCCACGTTTTTGTCATAGCCATGTTTTACCACAGTTTTGTTAATCTTGCCATAGCCTTGTTTACTCTTTCTTGGATACTTTGTTCATAATCTGGTTAATCTTGATTTGATACTTTGATCATAGTTTTTTGTCACAGCCTTGTTTTGTTCCTGGTCTTCAGTGCTTTTGTCACAATAAACCCTGTTTTCACGAATCTCCGCGACTGAGTCCTCCCTCCAAGATCCACCCTTTTTGACACCAGCCAGTATTAGGAATGGGCTCCGTCTCCCTGGGCTGACTCCCCTCCATCCCCCCCCCCCCTCTCTCGCCACACAGACCCCCCAGAAGGCGGAGGAGGACGAGGCCCTGAGGGCCGGCGGGGGGGCGGACCCGGAGAGGACGGCCAGCGGCCGGGTGCAGCGGGCCTCCGCCCAGGTGGCCAACTTCCACCTGGCCGAGATCGCCAACAACGACCTGCCCAAGGACTGGCCCAAGCGGAAGTTCCAGTCGGACCTGGTGCCGGACGACAAGAAGGCAGGGCCCCCCCCCCCCATACCCGCACACGCCCGGCCGAGCAGTCCAGATCGGTGCTCTGACGGGTTTCCTCTCTCCTCCCCAGTTGAAATACGCCCGGCCGGGGCTGCCCGCCTTCAGCCAGGAGGTCCTGAGGAAGTGGAAGAACGAGGTGAAGCTGCAGAGGAAGGTCCACTGCCCCAACCAGGTGGGAGGAAAGGCTTTGGCTCCAATTATTTCCTTGCTTTTTGATGGGGGCTAACGGTCTTTGTGCCCCCCACAGGGCTGCGGTTGCACCTACACCAGCGTATCAGGATTGAAAGCCCATCTGGGACTCTGCACAAGGGTGAGTCGTCATTTCTGACTGAGAAATGTTGAAAACATTACCTCATTGACTGCCAGCCATTTTCAGAACAGAGAGTCCCATACTGCCAGAGTTCTTTGAGCATTTTGACTGATTTTTCAAGAGCCACAGAATAGTTTGTGCTATGACTATGTAAACACCGAACACACCAAAAGAAAGAGTAGACTCTCTTCCTTCATCAGGAAAAAAAAATTGTTTCTACCTTATTCCGTTCTTCCTCGACTTGCGTCTCACCGCCGACATGTTCTCTCATAGCGATCCATTACGTTTTTCTTATTTGCCTACAGTCTATGCTCATCTCCCATCAAAAGTGGCACTGCCACCTACAGGGGCAATTTGTTACTGCATACTCTGTCTAGAAGCCTGATATTTACGGACAAGCTTTAGCAGATCGTCCCCCAGCCACTCGTGTTTAAAAACATAAAAGACGTCTATAGACGTCTTTGGCAGTCAATGAGTTAAGTACAAAACCCGAAAGAAAGAAGCAGATTAGCCCGAATGCTGCTTCTAAAACTGTGAATAAGCAAAATGTGAAGTGTGCCATTAATGTATCTGTTTGATTCACGAAAAAAGTCCAAATCAAAGCACTTAAATGGTTCATTCTGAGTCAAATAAGTATTGCAATCTGTTTGTTTTTTTTCTTTTCAGGGTGAATTTGAGGCCGGAAAATACAGATGCCTGATCTGCAATAAGGAGTTTAACTCCGAAAGTGGAGTTAAATACCACATCAACTCCGTCCACTCACAGGTGGGGCTTTTTCTGTGTTTTTTTTATGAGTGGAACCTGAACAGAGATCTGTTAAACTCTTTTTCTTTTGACCCATAAGGACTGGTTCGTGACCAACAAAAAGGCCTCCAAGAAGTTTGAGAAGTTCCTGAAGAGCCAGCCCAAAGGGGTGGTCCGTTACCAAGACGACCAGATGGCCGCCCACCAGTACGGCCACCCCCAGCTTCAGCCCCACCCCCCCCCCCCCCCCCACCCCCTCCACCCCCCCCACCACCTCCAGCAGCCCCTGCAGCCGCTGCACCACCTCCAGCCCCAGGCCCACTTCCTCCACCCGCCCCAGGAGCCCCCGCCCCAGGAGCCCGTCCTCCACTACACCCCCCTGGAGCCTCCGTCCGGCCCCACCTGGGTGGAGGTGGAGGTGGAGGCCATGGGGGGGCCGGAGCAGGGCCTGATCCACGTGGACAAGGCGGAGGACGGCGAAAAGCGCCACAGAAACGCCTAAAGGGGAGAAAAAAAGGGCAACTCACAGCAGTCAGAGGCTGGAAAAGGCGCGGACTGTTCCTTTAAACCCAGCAGAGACTCTGTACCAATGAGGAGACATTTGGGAAAACTAGACTTAAAGCAAACGTTCACTCCCGGAAGAGACTGACTTCACTTGTGGCTTCTGGCTGTTTCTCTGTGTCCAAATGTGTGTCAGTGTGGGAAAACCTCCTCCTGCTGTTTATCTGTGTGCTCACCGACTTTTAACATTCTTTTTAAACCTTTGATAAGCTCTTCTTGTCTCTACCTTAAAGGGAAAGTAACCTACACCCGAGGAGAGGACCCGTCTGCCTCTGAAAATATTCTGTGCCTCATAATAATTATCTCTCCTTTCCCCGATCATTTTTTTTTTTTTTTTTGGTTGTGCAATGAAAGAGAGCTCACTTTTCTCCTCAGACATTTCAAACCCGGACTAATTCGACCCATGTGGACCATCTTTGACTGAATGGATGCGTATCCGTCCTCCTCCGATGCAACATTTTAAGTTGTGTTTTTTTGGTAGTTTCTAAGAAACAGAACCCACAAGAAAAAAGAAGAAGAAATGGGATTATCTAGAGCTAAAAGGTGGCTAACTTTCTCGCTACTTCATTTTAAACTTCCGGCTTCCTGCTGAAATTTCCTTGACTGAAGAAAACTTGCAGGATTTGTTTCTATCTCGCGTCTTGTGGTCTTCCTCAGCGGATGGTGTTGCTTGTTTGTCGTCTATAATGTGATAACTGCACGGTTTTCCACCTTAAAAAGTCCACCTGCTGATGAAAGGGGGGAAAAACCGGTCAGTGGATTTAAGATTTCGTCCTTAAAACTACACGTTCTGTTTTCAAACTCTCCAGATCAGATTAGCAAAACGTAGTGGACAGGGAGACGAAGCAAGCACAGAGGGGTTTTTTACCCTTATCAAGAGGAAAAAATAAGTTTAATGGGCCGTAGATTCATGGGCTTCCTTGTGACACATCAAATCCAACAGCACAGAAATATTAGCATTGCATCTAGAGTCTTTGTTTGGACATAAACGCATAACCGGGAGCTTTGCCACAAAGCAGTTCCCTGTCAAGTGATGCTTCATGGGTTCTTTCACACTTTCTTTTTGTCTTAACCAACAACAATGGGGGATGTTTGTGCTGTTTGCAGTGTGTGTCCACTGTTCGGAGAACTTGTTTTCATGTCTTTCACCTTTTAAACACGTGTATGTGTGTTTGTGTGTGTTTTTTTTTAAAGCTCTTTACATTTATGAATGTATCTAGTCATTAGTTTTCCTTCTTTTGTGCTCATCTGTTATCCATACTTAATAAACATTCAGATAGAATACAATTTAATCTGATTAATATCCGTTTGATTGATTTGGTTTTATTTGTTCCTAACAAAGCGCGTGGAGGCCTGGAAACTGCCCCCCACAGGCATAAAAAAACATTATATCCCGCCAGACTACCTCTGGCCGATGTCCTGCAGGTTTGAGATGTTTCCTGATTCAAATCAATGCGGCACTGGCTGATTGTGAGCAATCTTTTAAAACGGTTTCAACCATGAGAGATCCCTGCTGTACACCATGACCTGTATGGAAACCAGTAGTATTACACTTGTTGAATTTGATTTATTTTTCTACGAGAGTCTCAAAGAGACATTTGGGGATTTAGGAATGTTTTATTTGGTGTGTATAAATGCAAGAGGAGCACGAGATGTGAGGACCCTGACGTGACTTCACTCTTGGCTTACATGTTTGACAAAAAGCAAACGGTTGTAATGCGGCCGCTTGCTGGTAGGGGGCGGTATACGCCACTATGCCCCTACTGTAACATGGCGGTCTGATGCAAGTATAATGTAGGTTTCACCCCTCGCATTCAGCGGGAACGACGCGGTAGATGTTTTTAACAATTCCCCTTCGTGAAAGTTTATCGACGGCTGGGCTTTTTCGAAAGATTTGCCTTTTCGACTCAACGGATCGACTGAGGGATCTTTACCGGAGCTCCGTCCGGGGTTCGATCTCGAGTGGCCGGTGTGGTGTTTCTTGGTGTACGGTACGTGGTTTTCCAGCCATCGCCACCCGGTAGGAAGTCTGGGAAGAGCACACGGTGAGCTTTTAATGGTCGTATTCAGCACACGGGTCAAAAACAGGAACATTACCGTAAATGTGGCGCAACGCTCCACTGCTACTTTAGCCGGTTAGCATCTCCCTATGTGTTAGCTTAGTAGCTTGGCTAAAAGAGTGACTTAGTGGAGGAAAAAAACAATGGATGTTATACTCATTAAACTTACCCTTTTCACTTTTTCACTTTCAAAAAGTGTGCCGAATGATAAGTGGTCTTAAACTACGACTACTGTCAATTTTATGACAGTATATTTCATATTTACACTCGCCAATCAAGGAAACGCCGTAAAACTGTCCACTCTTGAATGGAGTTTGGTGTCAGTGTGACAACCGGATATTGTCATAATATTGCCTGACCGCCGTCTTTTCAAATGACTTAACCAGTTTATAAGGCACCTAATACAGCAAATACGGCTCTTTTTTTCCTGTAACTAATCTAACAAATATTGCTTTGAAGGAAACACTAAGGCATTGAGAAAATGTCATTTTGTATATGAAGTCACAATTAGAAATGAATAGTTTTTTTTCTTCAAAAATTGTGTGTTTGAATATTCTTATGTTGAATATAGTGTGGTCATAATTTTTTCTGCCTAATGTATGTGCAGCTGAGGAGGGAACTTGCTCCATCCATGAGGAGGCATCTAACAGGACCACTTTGACCAGAGACTCAGAGCCTATGGATCAAATGGACTCTGGAGAAGGTTTGAATAGACCTATTCTGCCATTTTATCATCTTACTTGATGATCTCATTTTCATTCATTCTAATTACTTATTTGTTTTGTTGATTTGTTGGACTCTGTGTGGCCCTGTGATGGGTTTAGGGTCTCCCTTACAGGGTGAAAAGCATCTGAAATAGGCTTCCGCCCCCCATTAGACAACTTGGAAAATAGAAAATGAATGACAATTAATTGTATAAATTTGATCAACTTAACAGTTTGTGTCTGAAATATCCTTTTTTTTTTCTTTAAGCATTTTTTAAACTTATTTACTGTAGAGAGAAAATAGATTATAATGCTTTATAAAGGGTTAATATCTATTTACAACACACAAAGCTGATGATTTCAGTCAGACCTCTACTCAGCTCTCAAAGTTTGTCGTTTAGTTTATTTTACACTTTTATCCATTCAGTTGTTAACTTTTCCTCCTGATTGTTCATTTATTGATGAAACCTGCTTTCATTTGTTTTATTTAGATTTTTCACAAAGCAAAAAAATTATAGAACGTCATCCAAGTGTTGTTAACCCCTGTCAGGGGTTCTATACTGTGTATAAAAAAGCTGTCGCTTTCATTGCAGGGAAGGAGAAGCCATCAGATCAGTCTCAGTATTTAACGCCCTCATCAAAAGGACGACAACGGAAGAAAAACTCCAGATATGCCGACTACGAAACAGATGACACGAAATTAGACGACAATGTCAACGTCAAATCTCAGAAAACAACCAGACGGAGCTCAGGAGGCCAAAGAGCAGCCCCTCGGGAGAGTCCGGCGAAGAACAGAAAGGCCAGGAGGTCAGCTCAGCCAGCAGGAGACGGAGAGAAGAAATCCTCCGGCAGAAAAACCCCAGAGCCGGCCGACCAAACCGCTGTGAAAACGCCGAAGAAGAAGAGAGGGAGACCCAGGAAATCGCTGTCAAACAGCACGACTGAAGAAGCTGCTGTTGCCGGCGGCGACCGGCCGGCCGGAGAGGCCGGAGAGGCCGAAGTCGCAAACTCCCTGCAGCCTGAAAATGGCACGCCGAAGCCAAAGAGGAAGTACGTTCGGAAGCAGTATGTGCAGAGGGCGGAAAGTCCACAGCCTGAAAACGGCTCCGAGGGACTTCCGAAGGAAACCGAGGAGGAGCTGGGAGCAGGAGGCCGTCGCAGGAGAGGGGCGGCCAAAGCGTGAGTGACCGGATAGTGCCGTGCAGAATGTAGCATGTGTGGTAGGATGAGAGTCGTAACTCTAACTCCTTCCAGGGCGTTGAGGTACCTGCAGATTTTGGCAAAAGAGGTGTTTTCCAGCGGCGGCGAGGAGCCCGTGAGGAGCCAGCAGCCCGCCGACAGCCAGGAGAAGCTCCCAAAACAGGGAAATGTGAAAGGACGCAGAGGTACAAAGGAACCCCTGCCAGGGAATGACCATCCGGGATAATGCCGAGCTCTTTTTGAGCCACGAAGAGTTACAAAAACTGTGAATTGTAAAACTGTCTTGAATGTGGTTCACACATAGAGCTGCCCAAAGGAGATGGAAAAGGAAGAGGTCCCTGACACTCTGAGGCCTTTTAAGGCCTAATTCTGCCAAACTGGAATCAGACCAGTCAGGATAGCTGGGGAACTTATTCCCTCCTTTTTCGGTCTTTGTTATTAAGCTGACCGGATGCTGTAGCTTAGTTAAGACTTCGTTAAGACAAAGCTGAATTTGATTTGAATTTCTCCCGTTCTCTGTGATGTTTGGGATGTTTGTGCGTTAAAGATCAGCTCAAATTAGCACTAACAGAGGTTGTTTTAACCCGTAAATAAATGACCCTCTGATAGAAACAGCTTTCAGCTTTTGAAATTAACCATAAAGTCATTCCATAGAGGCTAAACCTGTTGGAGACAGTGCTTTCTGTTAGTCTCTGTTCTTTGTTTGTGCTATGAGCAGGAGTTATAATTCAGCCTCTCCTGACATCGCTTCTCTGTCCTCTTAAATCCTTCTAAGGCCGAAAGCGGAAATGTTTCAACAGCGACGCCTCCGAAGATGAAGACTTTGTGCCAGACACTGCAGAGGAAGAGGCCGATGAAGTAGAGGAAGAAGAAGAGGAGGACGAGAAGGAGGACGGAGAATCTTCAGATCCAGACTCTGACATGGTTCCATTCAGAAAAAATTCATCTGCTTTTTACAGTAGCAGGAGCAACGTTAGTGTGTTTTCTATCCTCCAAACTGTTTGTCTCTACCATGACACAGTGACTTTGATGCTTTAGAAGTTATTTGTGTGTAGATGAAGGAGCTGGAGGAGAGGGAATAAGGCCGGAGATGCTCACTGATCCAGGTTGCTTTTCTCCAACAGGCGGCCTCTGGTGGCCTTTCCCACAACGGACTCCCACACGTTGTTTTGCGAACTCACTGGGATTCTGCTGAGGTTACCCACAAATTGTAAGTGCGTAATTGTACAAATTGTAAGAGCGGCCATTTTCGGTGGCCAGTTAACAGTCCCCGTCCCCCCCTAAACGGCCGATTTTTAAGTGGAAAATGAAGTCTTTTGTGTCTGGTTGTTAAGCTACCGGTTATTTTCCAGCCGACAGGAGAACTGCAGCAGCTGGGCGTTCCCAGATTGGATCCCGTCCACTGACCAGTGGGACCCTGTGCCGCACAGGTAGTGTGTTTAATGCGAATGTGAATAATAACTTTATTCTCTTATTTCAATGCATAACTTTGTGTTCTGGTGTTTGTTTGCCGATGGGAGGAAGGCAGATGCCATTTATCTAATGAGGTATTCATCTAGAAAACCCCAAAAATGTGAAAATCCAGGCTCTGAGTGGGGTTTTTATGAGGATTGTGGCAGTTTGTGTGCCTCCAGGAGAGCCTGATAAAGGTGTAATGAGTGGAGTTCATCCTCTCCAGCTTCGGTAAAGTGTTCTTACTGGGAAACATTTCGTGTCGTTTCCGGGTTATCCAGTGATTTGGAGGAATACCTGCCCCGGGAGTCGAGTTCGGCCGCTTTCACCGTGTCCAGAGAGGGTCTGAAGGAAGACGCACCGGAGCTGACTCTGAAGAGGTGGGACTGCCAAAGCAGCTTTATTTTCTGTCTTTATTCTGACATAAACTGTCCTGACGTGTTAATGTGGCAGGTTCGAGGCGGCCTCGCCTCACCCGGACCGCTGGGACTCGCTGCTGTTTGCCGGGGGACCCGTCTGGGCCTTGGAGTGGTGTCCCACCCCCGACGGGGCCCCGGCCAATCAGCACATCGCCCTGGCCTGCCACCCGGGAATGGACGACGTCCACCAGGTGAACAGGACCTCCACCGAGCCCGGACTGGTCCAGCTGTGGGACTGCGGGAGGCTGGAGTACGACAGCAGGTACGACAGACCGACCCCCTTTTTTATTATATTATTTTGTTTTTTTTAGATAGATAGATAAGAGCTTTATTGATCTCACAGTGGAATAAATTCACTGGTCACACATCGGTTAGAGCTCAAAAGGAGGAAAAGGTGCATAAAGTACAGCAAAAAACAAACAAATATACAAGGAAGCGACACAGCGCAGAGATTTGAGTGACTAAAATATACACAATCATCGATGGCTCACACACAGTACACATATTACACAGGTCAATAAATATAATACAAGTGCACAGGAGTTGTTATAGTGCAGCATCGTACAGTCTGGTAGCAGCAGGGATGAATGACCTGCGGTATCGCTCTTTTTTTTACACACAGGGTGTCTAAGTCTTTTACTAAACAAGGTCTGATTTAATTTTGTTCCTCCACAGACCGGACGCCCACCCGGCCCTGGCCTACGGCCTGGCCCTGGACAAAGGCTTCATCTGGCACCTGAAGTGGTGTCCGACCGGAGGCTGGGAGCCTCCCGACAGTGCCAGGAAGGTGCTGTGTCTGGTTTCAGCCAGTAGGTGTCAGCGTGTGACCGGGAAATGTCCTAACGCATGCTCTCTGTCACCCTCCCCCACCCTCCCTTCAGGCTCCTCTCCTGCCCCGCTTGGGTCTCCTGGCTGTAGCCACCTCCAGTGGTGTGGTCAGCGTTTACAGCCTGCCTCACCCTGACGCTCTGCTCCCTCACGCCGGTAAAAACACTGTTGTTGTATCACAAAAGGCTCTCTTCGGTTTTATTGTGTCTTCACAGTTTAGTTCCTCAGCTAAAACACTAGCACACAAACCTCATTTTATTAGATATGCTAGGAAATATCTAACAAAAAATACTTGGTTATGTCCCCCATTCGTCTTCTTCTGGTTTTTGGAATTACAAATGAACATGGGTTAATATGTTTTTCTGTTGAGTTTTGACTACTATGACTGTGACATGTTAAAAATCAAGTTTTGGGGCAAAAAGAAAAAAGTTTTTTTTTTACATGGATGGGAAAAAAGGGTAATGGAAAAAATACACCAATTATGAGTAGGTGTAACACAAATATTCCACAAAATGTCCTTTGAATACTTATTTGTTCATATCTAGACCATATACATAGAATAATAATTTTTCTTATTACCATTAGGCAGGGGGCAGTGTTGGCCTTATTTCAGCTGTGAGGAATGAGGGCTGTAGTCCATTTCTGCTCCTTTTATCCTGGCAGCCTTATGAAATTTAGCAATAAGACTGTGGATTGGATTTCGTCTCAATGAACCTATCCCTGATGTTTGATTTGCTTAGTTTTTTCTTCATTTCTTCCTACACCAAAGCGGCAGAAGCTGGAAAAAATGTGTTTTAACAGGGGCTATTTTGATTTGGAGGCACTTTGTCACCCCTGATCTGCTTTGTGTTTCAGATACCAGCAAATCTGTCCTGTTTTAGACAATCAATTACCCTAAGAGTAAAAGAAAAAAAAAAACCACCAAAACAGAAGTGTAAATCAAATGAATCTGGTTTCTCTTATACAAACTTTGAAAGAAAATGTAGATATCTACATATTTTTTCTTTTTTAATTTAAATTATTGCATTATCCATTTGAATTGTTTGCATGTATGAAAACAGTAAAAAGAAAGAAAAATCTAATAGGCTTACAGTTTGCATTAAAAAGAAGATTTCGTCTTGTTAAAGGGATTTTATGTTACTCAACCAGAGGAGCTTAACACTGAATATGTGATCAGTCACACAGCAGGATCATCCATCATGGACCTCATTAATTGGACCGAATCTTACGCTTGACAAAACAACAGGATCCTCCAGGAAACCCAACTCTGCTCCAAAGCGTGTGCATTTAATGCTTGAGGGTCTATGAAACTGCTCCGTGCAGCTTCAGAAATGTGTGGTTTAGAGTTGAGAGCACACGTGCGCATACCCGTGCACATACGTGAGCGTGAGCAGGCATTATATGGATGCCGGTGATAGAAAGCTGTGTGAATGAGATTAATGACCAGCTTATCAGCCACATCCATCATACAAAGAAACACAGTCATGTCTCCGAGCGTGTGTGTGTGTGTGTGTGGGTGTGTGAGTGTGTGTGTGCCCACTGGCTGATGTGTTTAAACACCAGGCTGAGATCAGGAGAGCACACGCGCTCTCTATCAACGCTCTCACGCTTCCATCACGATGACACAACCTTCTTTTCCATCCCATTACGCCTCATCGTCTGGGACAGATCCCCTCTGTCGGCATAAAAGATAAAAACAGGACTGAAACACTTTTTTTGTGTCTCCTGTTCTCTCCCAAAATGCACACACAAATAATTCCTATTAACACGCCCAAATTCTGTTGGTTTTTCTCTGATAAAAGCTTTTTGTGTATGGATTTCCCCCCTCCCTTCCCACCAGTTTCCCTCACTCTGATTTAAAATGTATTCAGATCCAAATGAAATGTCGTATTTGGGTTTATATCTCCACTGTTTCACACATGGCTTCCTTTTACAACTAAGGAGAATCCTGCGTGGCTCTGTGGATGTAAAAAGCAGCATAAAACCTGACATTTCATTTTTGTGCCTTTTTTTTTTTTTTCCCCACTCTCCCCGCTGCTTCATGGCTTTCCTTTTTATTTCGCGGCCACGGATCATTGGGTTCGGTTTCCAAAGAGCAGCCCTCTGCTTCCAGAAGCAGGTTATTACAGTTATTGGACAGAAAGGTTGCTGCATTTGAAGACAAGTGTGATTACCTATGCACTTTTAGGAAAAAGAAGCCTATGAACATCTAAAAAACAATCCTTTTTTTTATTGTTTTGCGTTGAATAGATCATTTTCTATCACATCCAGTGTAAATTTTGCAAGCCCATGGTTTTAAAACCTCACTAAAGCTTCTGCTAAAATTACTATTTTAGGAATTTAAAGGAGTCAAACAAAAATCTCCTCAATCAGATGAGTCTTATGGTTCTGATCTGCTTTTTCGTTGGTATAAAGACACCTTCTGCTCTTTTTTAAAGTGACCATTAGCCGGACATGATAAGTGCTTATGCTGTCTTTTCCATGGGCCGGTTTGAGGTTGGAATTGGCTGGAAATGGGCTCAAACTGAGCGTGTTTACCCCCACTCTGTCTCCACCGGGCAGCCCGCTGCTGTCCGCCACAGATAATTAGAAAGTGCTTTGTCTGTTGGGCCCAGGATGAACGAGCCGGAGAGAGAGAGGAGGAGGAGGCCGTAAAAGCAGAAGAATCGGGGCGGGGGGGGGGGGGGGGGGGGGGTGGGGGGGGTTGGAGGAGTGGAAATGACACCGGGCCGAGGAAAAAAAACAGACAATGGTGAGAATGTGAGGCGGCGCGGGGAACCGAGCTAATTTACAGCGGCGTTCTCCATCAAACAAGGATCTATAATTGAAATGACAAAGAAGATGCATGGCCGAGCGGGTTGTTAGTGTTGGGAGCCATGAATTTCAGGCCTTAGAGCTGACACATCTTGTATCTCTGCTCTGTCAGTCATCAAGGACTTACACTGGGACGGGAGGGGGAAAATAGCTGGTCTGGAGAGGGGGGGGGGGGTCATATGGAGGCCAAGTTGAAGTGCAATTTCAGGAACACAAGACACATCCTGCCATCACTTCTCCATTTGGGTTTAACGGCCGCGGTGTTAGGGATGATTTTTAAGATTCGCAGTTAATGCGAAGCCGTGACAGAAAAGAGACTTTCCAAGGCTTAAAGAGGTTTAAAGTCCAAGTTTGTGTCCTTTTTTTTTACAAAGCGGAGGCGAAGAGTATGGGTGAGTGAGGCGGACTCCATTGATTCATTAATGCGAGCTGGATGGGGAGGGAAAGCTAATGATCCAGAACAGTCCGACGCCTTCTTTTGTTATTGGATTGGACGTCTTTTAAACACAGCGGTGATCTGTGGGGTGTGCTCGGCTGAGTTACTGCGGCAGGGCTGCTCAGCAAACAGTTTCCATTGATTAGTTTATGGTTTTCATCCAGGAGCAGAGGCCTTTTTTCACGTCTTCCGTTAAATCTCTGAATTGTTCCTCAGAAATTAACAAAATTAGAGAAAAGGTTTTTCCAATAAAAATATAAGATTAATTTAACATATTTTATTTAAATCCATCTCCATTAGTGTTGTCCCTTTTTGAGCTAAACTTGAATCCTCAGTATTCATTAGTAATAATCAACTAATTCCGGCTGGCCAACATTTTACAAGGAAGGAATTTGGATTAAATCGTAATTTGCAGACAGTAAATCTACGGATTGAAGATTGTTTGCTAAAGTGCCTTTAGCTTTCATTTTTTTGCCAGTGAAACCAACGCCAAAGGCTGCCTGTTTGTTTAAAAAAGAGATCAACTCTATATCTAATAGTTGCTTTCATTGCATTCCATTTTGCAAATTTGGTCTTAAATTGATTCGGGGCCATTAAATTAACTCCTTTATTTGACCTTAACCCACATAAAACACAGCAGGTTCACTGTAATAAACACTGTGATAAATGCTCGACACCTCTTTTTCCCAAAGTAGATTTCCATGTTGAGTTTCCAAGTGAGATTTTATCCTCATGAATAATCTGTCTTGTTTGCATCTCTACAGAAAAACGCGGCGAGGGCCCGCCGATATACAAGGTAGGATTCAGTTTGACTGTCTCTTTCTCTTTTTGTCTCATCCTCTGGAATGACTTCACTTCCTTTCACAAACCAGGGAGGAATCCCTGCTCAGACTGGTTTCTTTGGCCCTTGTTCCTGCAGGCCCAGGCGGTGGTGACCCTTAAACTGGGCTCCATCAGAGCCCCCCGCCACCAGAGGAGTGGGCAGGTTTTGTCTCTTGATTGGCTGCCTCAAAAGCCCCACAACATCATAGCAGCCGGGTTCTACGACGGTAGGAGCACGTTTTGTTCTGCCGACCAGGACCACACGTGACTTAAACGTAGGTCTGGCTTCTGATTCACCGTCTGTCCGGTGTTCTGCCCGTTTCCAGGTTCGGTGGGTCTGTGGGACCTGTCCACTAAGTCCGCGCTGCTGCGGGTGAGAGAGCCGGACCGGTCCATGACTCTGCTGCCCTTCCGCTGCCTTCAGGCCCACGACCACGCCGTGCTGGCCCTGGCTTTCTGTCCGGCCTCCAGGTGGGAACTCCCACCCCCCCCCCCCCCCCCCCCCCCCCCCCACCCCCCCACCCCCACCCCCCCCCCACACGTCGCCGTCATCACAGCTCGTCTCTGATGTTCTCCGCCTCAGAAAGCGGCTGTAGATTTATTTATTTTTATATACACTGGGGGAAATAAGTATTTGACCCCTTGCTGATTTTGCAGGTTTGCCCACTTACAAAGAATGCAACAATCTATAACTTTAATTATATGTACATTCTAACAGTGAAAGACAGAATCCCAAAGAAGATTCCATAAAAGCACATCATATGAATTTATAAAAATTCATAACCATCTGATGAGGAAAAATAAGCATTCTTTGTAATTTGGCAAACCTGCAAAATCAGCAAGGGGTCAAAAACTTATTTTCCCCACTGTATATATATATTTTTTTATATTTTTAGCATTGGCCTCTCACACATGCGTAGATAGACCGTACAGAAAAGGGAAAAGCTTTTTATTAAACAGGCAGATGAGGCCGTTATCCCTAAGACGGTGGTTTCTACGAGCACCGTCAGTGGAATCTGATCTGAGATGGAGACGTGAACACAGAGGTGACCGCTAACCAGACAGGATCTCAGGGCACTAAACTTTATGGAGGCTCCTCTCCCTCTTCAGCGACTTTGATGAGAGATGGAGGGGCGTTTATATTAGCTGTAATATTCAGCTGATAGTTCTTTCTGCCTGTTTTTCGGAAGTAGTAGTGGTAGTCTAAAAAACTGTGTTTTGAACTGACTTTATTTGGGTCCTGTTAATCCACTGAAAATCCTATTCTGAGGCTTTTTCGTCTGATTTCAGACTTTTCTGCCTCGTCATCAGCAGGAGGATTATTAAAAACGACCCACCTCTCTGAGCCCGGTTTCCCGTCCCGTACACGTCCTAATCGGCCCGTTTAACCCCATCCGAACCACACTCACTCATGCACAAGTGGAGGAATTAGTATTCCTGCTGAGTGCTCCTGTCTCGGGGTAATTAAGGGTTCCATTAACATCACCGCAGCGGGGATAAATCTGACCGCCAGCCATGCGTTTCTCTGCATTTTTTTCTATATTTTCTGACGAATCCCACAGAAAGAAACTGCCTTAAAAACAGAAACTGCCGCCTCCCTGTTACTTTTTCTCTTTCTCAACACTTTTCTCTTTTGACAGGCGCGGACAGCTTTTCATTATTTCTCCCCCATCTCGCCGCTCCTCTCATGAACATTGAAATCTGTATTGATCTCTCCGTCTTCATTTATTTTACAGCCGAGACGCTACTTCTGCTTCTGGTTTTGATCAGTGGAGTCTGGGGGGGTGATGAATTCTCCTTCAAGCTTTGCATAAAGTGAAATTCACATATTCAGCCATTTTTTTCCCCCTGTAGTCGTCAGTCGGTTCTTTATATTTTTGCCTCCAGGTAATAAAGCTTTATTATTAAATGGTCTTTTTTTTTTTTACACCAGTTTTTTTTCTGATCACTTTTAATGTTTTTCTTTTGCTGAACAACTTCACTCTGACCGTTAAATCATTTAAGCACATCAAAATACACCTAACTCAAGGGGTGAACCAGCATTGAGTCTGTATTTAAGCTCTTTGAAAAGTGATGGCTTGTTGTTCTGCTGTCGATAAGTGTCTACGGTGATAAATGGGCCTCTCTCTCTCTCTCTCTCTCTCTATCCCTCTCTCTCTCTATCCCTCTCTCCCTCTGGTCCAGACACCTGTTGACCACGGCGGGGGAGGACCGCTTCGTGAAGACGTGGGACCTGAGGAGGCCGTGCGACCCCATCACCGCTCAGAAGCGCAATCTGTCCACCGAAATCTGCTGGCCCCTGAACGCACCGGGGCTCCTGATCACAGAGGACTGTGCCTTTGCGACGTAAGAAAAAGCTTCTCTGACACAACTTCCCTCTCCCCTCACGAAAGGAACACAAAAACCTGGACCTGAGCCGCTCACAGCTGCTCTTTAGAGGGATCAATGAGGCTTTAATTCATAGTCTGTAGGTACAGAGAGACTAGAAGATGACACAGAGGCCATCCTGTTAAGTGCAGGAAGGATTTTTTTCTAAAAATGCTAGATGGAAGTTATTTCCATTATTGGATAGATGGTCAGTGTTGACATCTGAAATTTTGTGTGCGTCAAACAGTTTGATTCTTCCAAATTTTGTTATGAATTTTATAGCTTTGGAGGCACAAGCTGACTTTTTAATACCTGAATAATAAAAATCTACATATTCCTACAATGCGACTAAAACGTGTGCAAAGTTCTTCCAGCCTTCTGCTGCCCTCAGCTTTTTTTTTTTCCCGTCTGAGCAAAAAAATGATTAAATTCTCTCCTCTTTACTCTCCACATTCTTTTTTTTTCGTGTTCGTGTGTTTTTTTATAGGAGATGCTCACTTGGAGTCCATTACTTTGACCATCACATGCGCTCTTACTTTCCAATCATAAGGAGCACCACAGTTTGGGTGAGTTTACTCTGATTCTTCCCGTCTGGCCAAACCTGATTGTTAAATCCACCCAATTCGATATAAGCCATGCTAATAATCTATAACAGTGATATTAATTAAACTACGAGGCCCACAAATCCTCAGCGCTTTAGCCCCGCCCTCTGTTGGAGTGATTCAACTTTTCGAGGCCCACAGACCCAGTTTCCGGGTCCGTGATTTGTTGTTGAATCAATCCCTGTTGGTTTATTTGTTTGTTTCTTGTGTATTCTGCATAGCTGAAAATGGGGATCTTCAGAGTGGCAAATGCTGTCAATTAGTTTTTTTGCTCCAATATTTCAGCCGTGAGCCGTTTAGTCTAAGCGTGTAAGATGTTGCTCAACCAGAGGAAACTATTTTGTGTGTCTTTTTGCAGTCCATATCTTATTCTGAGTGGCTGCACTGCGTGGTGTCCTCGGACGCCTCCGGCGAGGTCATCTTCGCCATCATGCCTCAGATGGACATCTGCATTCCTTACTGCAAACGCTCCATCATGAGGCGTTTCGTAAGTTCCTTCTTTTTCTTTTTTTCCTTTTTTTTTTTTTACAGCCGTTTTCACCTTTTTCCCGTTTTTTTTATTTTATTTCATTTTTTTGCATATTCGTGTGCCAGACTTTGACAAACAGTATCTTTTCCTGTCACCGGACGTGTAAAGTTTGACCAGCTTGGCAACCGTTCGGATTCCTGCATGCGTTAAGGTTGTTTTAAAGTCTAACCTGAAAGTCTAACGGTTTCCCCACCAGCCCGTCTGCCTCACGTCTTTGGTTCGCCGCGAGGCGAGCGAGGAGGAAAGTGAGGAGAGGACAGGAGAGGAGGAGGAGGGAGGAGACACAGAGGAAGCTCCGGAGGGAGGGGGGGTGAGAAACCACTTCCTGACTCCTCTGCAGCTCCAGACCTACAAAGAAGCGGCGAAGAAATACCAGCTGCACTATGACGACACTGACATGGTGTGTTGATGCTAAACCTTTGTGATCCCTTCTATTCCTTTATTTATTTATCATAAAAAGAACAGATAGAAAAAGATGGTACTAGATTGAAATAGATGGTATTTAAATCTGGTTTTGTAGTGACATTTTTGCTCAATTATGTTAGAAAAAATCGAGGGACTTTCTTCTTGTAACATTATAAAAAGTCCCCATCACAGCTCTATGGTCACATGGTCAGCTGACCACACTTTAGCTGATGCCTAATGGGAACTAATTTTCTCTCTGTGATTACTTTGCATGAAAACAGCCTAATTAAAGGTAAGTATTGGGTAACAGACAGTTTGTTTGTTTTTTCTTATTTAGGAATATGGTCTATAAAAAGCGAAAAATAGCTGCTCTATTGGGCCTCTGGCTGTGCTAACAGAAGAGATGAACAGATGTTTAACCCCCCAAATGCTGCTCTTTCAATATGTATAATAGACTACTGTTAAATACCATTATATTTTAACAGTGTGTTACAATTCAGCATGTGGATGCACAGATTGTCTTTTTTGGAGGAAACAATAAAAAATAAGCTATTCCTCAGGATTTATTATTAGTTTAGTTAACATTTTCCTACTGGATTTAGGGTCTAACGGCTAGTTTCAAGCTTCTTTGACACAGCCTCCAAATGTCAACACACACAATATTCTGTTCAGCTTGTAAAATCTAGGGCATCATTACCAGGAACATATTTGTTGGGATTGAGCTGCTAAAAAGAGACGGAAACATCAGATCTTTGTGGAACTGAGCACACACCTGTCTATTATTGCCTTCATGGGAACATTTGAGTCAATTTTTTCGTGATTTTTAGTGTTAATTCCCATTTTCAAACTGCTGATTTTCATAATTTCATCCCGATTCTCAGCTGAACCTCAACAGACTGGAGAAACGGGTTCTGTGGAAACGCATGAAAGACACCGAGGGACAAGCAATGGTGAACGTGGATGAGATGCCTCTGACTGCACTGTACAAGGTGCACACAAACACACACACAACCACACAAACAAACACACGGTGCAGGTTACATCCCACTTCTGCTGAGAGATAAAGTCCACCACCAGGGACGGGAACCGGAGGGGAGACGTCTCGGGGGGGTCCTCCTCCTTTGTCCTCTGATGGGCAGCTTTAAAGTCAGAATGGATGTAATGACGTGTAAAATTAGAAAAACGTCAGGCCTCATTCGGAGAAGGGAAAAGCAGATGAAAAACAGCAATTGGCAGATTTGGTGTATTTCATTTCAAGAGGCAGAGTTGAGGAAGTCGTCGTGCCCCCTGGGGGGAAACGATATAGGGTCACTTTATGGTACGATCTTTAAAAGAATAAGCCCCCGACATTTGAGCTGGCCCTGTCTAAACCGACAATAACAGGGAAAAAATGTGGCGTATGTGGAGAAAAGGGAAACAAAAGGAGACAGCGCAGGATGATTTATGGATGAAAAGCAGAGCCTCCTTAAAGCAAAAGAAGAGGAGGAGGCGTTATTGACCGGCTGAGGGCTTTAGCTGAGTCATTCAGACAGGAAGAAGAGATAAAAATCTGCTCTTAAATGCAGGTTTTTTCTTAACGAGAGCTAAAAAAGAAGTTGTCAACATTCAAGACACATATTTTTTAAAAAGGGAGTCCAGAAAAGTTGATGTATGTAAACTTCTGTTGAAATTCAGCATTTATATCCTGAGGACACAAATATCTAAAAGATCCAATCGTTTAACTTCTGCTAAAAGTAACGATTAAGTTACTTTTAAGTAAAGATTTGATGTATTTATTTATTATTTTGTTTTTGTTTTTCTGTAGGAACATAAACATTTCAATTAAAAAAAAGATACAAAATAAAAGTTAAAATATACAAGATTAAAAAAGTTAAAATGTCCGATCTTGTGACACCGTGCGCGGCACGCTATTGGCTGAAGGACAGGAAGCCACCAATCAGATGTGGGGAGGATTCAATAATTTATAATGAATATTTTTGCAAAAGCACTGGAGCTGTAACAAACATATTGCTTTTTCCCTTGTTCCTGCTTTTAACTGTGTTTTAAAAAATCTTTTAAAAATTGTTTGTTTGTTTGTTTTGTTTTTTTATGCTGTTTTATGCTGTTCTTTTATTTAAAATGTCTTGTCTTAATGTAAAGCACATTGAGTTGCCGCTTGGTATGAATTGCGTTATATAAATAAAAATGCCTTGCCTTGCCTTATAAGTAATACACATAGACGTTTATTCAGGCTGATCAGAGCAGTCAGAGACATGAGGAGAGGCAGATAATCTGAGTTGCCGTGTGACCCGTCCCTGTTTCCTGTTTCCAGGTGCGTTTCAGCCCCAACATGAGCAGCCAAGTGTGGCTGGCCTCCGCGGGCCAGACCGGCCTGGTGAGGCTGCACTGCGTGAGGACCTTCATCAGCTCCGAAATGGGGAAGATGATCGGGGAAAGCCAGGCCCGGTTCAGCTCGGATCAGAGGAGGGAGGCGGCAGAGGGCCGGTAGCAGGACGGAAAAGACGCACAAAAAACTGGAAGTCTTTGCAAAAAAGAAACCGTGCAATCAGGTTACATTGAATATTATTAGTTCACTTTTATTACCTCTATGGGCTGAGGTCTAAAAAAAACAGCTCAGCTTGTCCATAAAAGCAAAAGGCCATGAATCATCATCCTTGTTGCATCTGTGGTGACGTCTACAATTAATTTGACAAGATAAAACTTTATTACAACGTCTGTGGAGTAGGAGTTTCGGCCCGTATCAACAAATCAGGGAAGTTGCCACATTCCCCACAGATGATTGAATGGAAAAGGTGTGAAAAGTAAGGAGTTCTGAATGTACAGAGCGCACCTGAATGCACCACAGGTACTCTCCAGCATTTAGCTAAGCTCTGCTGCTGTTTCATTTAAAAACAGCCAAACAACTCAGGCTGCGAACTGGCGAAATACTTGAATTTTTCATTTTTATACATTCACATTTTAGATCTTTCTCTCACCTTCTCTTCTTTTTCTCTCCTTTTTGCCTGTATAGTACCTGGAATAAATGTTTATTTTTTAAAGTTTATATTTAAAAAAGGGAGTGTGTAAATAATTCCATCTAAGTAGAATAAAGAGTTTTAAATCCTTGTTTAAAAAAGGTTAAAAACAGGGTTTCAGTGTGACATCGTTCAATTATGTGTGATTAAAAGCATCTAAACAAACATCACCTCCAACTGTTGCCATTTTTAAAATGTTGCCTACAATAAAGATTTTTGTACTGAAGTCAAACTGAAGTCTGGTTATTGAACACTTAAATGAACCAGCCTCTGTCCATCCGCAGGCTTTATTTCCACTTTACAAAAAACACACATAAAAATGAAATAACCAACATGGTTTTATGCCTCATCACCAGAACACGTGATTGATTGTACAGATGGGGTTCATGTATTTACACACGTATACACAAATCAAACATTGGAAATCCACGATATTTGACATATTTACAACACACACACACAATATATTCATCATGAACAGCACAATAACAGCATTCCCTGACATAAAACTTTCATTACGAGGAAACGGGAGGCGTTTTTTCTTTTTTTCTGGAATGAGAGCCTGTTTATGAGAACTTCACGATGCGTCATAATTACAGCCCTTTGCTTCTCAGTTCCTCTCCGTTGCTTTTCGGGCGCACATATGTGTTTCTTTTTTAAGGAAAATGTGTGTAAACGTACAGGATCTCCTTAAAAATCAGTGAAAATGTGGAATCCTAAAGTTTTGCTTTGATTGATCCTCCGCGTGGCGTGTCAACTCATTCTGATTGGCAGTTGGACGAGAAACATCTTACTACGCTTAACACCGAGTAACAGCTAACAACCATGCAAGTGTTTTGACCCGACGGGACGTCTACAAAGATCATGATGTGCGTCTGTCCTCTCTTTGAAAGCAGCTATTAGCATTAACACCGAGCAGTCACTGAAAAAAACGTTAGCTGGGCTCATATGGGCTTCTCTTTTGCTTTTGAAATGCTGAAAAGTCTCTTCTTTCAAAATGGAGGTCGGCCCCCGACTCGAGTTAAACATGCTGTGGATATTTATGGTCCCAGAGGGGGCTTTTGTGTTATAATATAGTGTAGAACAAATCCAAAAGGGAGCTTGCCCTTGATCCAATATGGCGGCTTCCAAGATGGCAGCCATGTTGTCAGCCATTAACGCAGGGGTGTCCAGATGTGTCGTTTTTCATTTTGTTTCTGAAATACAACGGTGTCCTGTGACTTTTGACTCACTTTACATTTATTTTGGCTTTTTTTTTTTCATCAAGTGCACCTTTCTGGTAATTTAAAGCTGCGTTTTTGGAATTATCGTTTTGTTTGGGTCATTTTGTGACGCACTGATATTCGTTTAGATGGAGTGAAATCTTCAGGGGACAGAGGCAGGCTCTGTGGACGGATGAGTGCAGGGGCAAAGAGAGATAGATGAGAGGAGATGGAGGACAGCGTGAGGCTGAAATTAATGGCCCGACAGCAGAACTCCATCATTTCTGCCCTCAGAACTGACAAACCTGGGTCTGCAGCTGCACGCAGACCTCATTTTTCCCTGTTCAGTCCAAATCGGAGAGAGGAAACTAATAATATTAATAACAAACAGACTTTTTAATGAGTTTAATTCAGGCTTTACTTCAATTCTATGTTCCCAGTTAAGTATGTTATCTGAAAGTAGCCTGACACCTTATGGACTGCTGCTGTTTTAATCCCTTATGGGGATCCATTTGGCAGGTTTCCCCCATAATATCTTTGTCATGCTGTCTTTGAGTTGAGCATCCTCCACATGACCCTCAGCCTGGAATCAACCTACACACTTAAAAACCAATACCTCTGAGGAGGATTTTGCATCACTAAGTAAAATTTAATGATGTATTTCTGAGTGTTGTGTGGAAAATGAGGAGCTGTTAAATGGAAAGATGGCCGATGCTATCATGGAAAAGTTGAGATCTGAAACAAAACCCATTAAAGTCACCCATCTGTCCCTTTTAGATCCCTCCTCCCGGGCCCCATGCTAAGAATTAAACCCACTGAAACGGTCTTATTTTCAAATATTTAACGTTGGCATCGGACCTAATCATTTGAAAACAACTGAGTCCTTTTCGCTCACACAAAGATACTTTTGGTTGTTTTTTCTACTCAAGATATTAAAATGTTAAAAATGTTTTACGGATCCATTTATATTTAAAGTTTATGGCAGAAGAGGAAGGTTTGTGGTCAAAAGTCACATGGACAGTGTTTTGCCAAAGCCGAAGGCTCTGTTTGGTGTCCTCCAAGCTAAACGTGTAAGCACCACTCATTTAAGTTCAATTAATTTAGTTTAGATAGCGGCAAATCACAACAGGTGTTGTTCCAAGGCACTTCAGAGATGCAGTCCAATTTAACCAGCGCAGATTATCCCGATTCAAGGCAAAACCAGAAATGTTCTATTCTGTCAGACTAACCCTCTTCAATAAAGTTTATTCAGCTGGCTTTTTCTCATATCTAAGATTTAGTTTTTCCACTTGTGTGACCTAAAATGCATCTGTTCTCCGCCTAATTTGGCAATTTGGCAGTTTATTTCCTTTTGTGTTTTCCACTTTTGTCTCCGTGTAGCTGCAGGAATAAGTGGACCTTCACAAACTGCCCCTTCATAGTTTATTTATGGCAACTCTAACCCTAAGCCTGTAGTCAGGCTCAGGGTTAGGGGCACAATAGGAGTACGTTTGTGTCTCCTGTTAATCAAATACGGGTAAAAACTGGACCCCAGACACAGGTTTGCGCTGTTAGAGGGCCTGAAAGATTAACTTTAGTTTTTTAAGCAGTAAGTGGAGAAACTAAAAGGAAACAGATGGAGATTTGGGGGTACCTCCCCACAGACAAGTCCAATTTGGTGCCTTATTTTCTGAGTTTTTTCAAATATACCTTGCTTAGTTATGAATGTATATCCCCGCTTTCGAATAAAGACATTAAAAAAAAGCAAAATCTCATGTCATGCAGCCATTTTTCGTGGCGTTTTGCACATGTGGTCTCAGAGTCAGGTCCATGTTAGCATGGAGCCCAGCACAGCACACACGGATGATTTAGCAGTTTCATTTCTTTCTCTTTTTGTGGTGAACGCACCCAAAGCCCGTTCTCCTCCTTTGGGAATGTGGTGTCGGTGGTCGTCGGTGGTCCGGCCCAGTCCGGAGATGATGTCGTGGAAATGTGTCCATGCTACGTGGGGCCCGGTCCATCAGTCTCTGGGGTCCTGGCAGCTGGAGCAGTGGCTCATGTCCTCGGAGTAGAGCTCCACCTGGATGGTGACGCTGTGGAAGCCGAACTTGGTGTGGAGCAGGTCCGTGGCCTCTTGCAGAACCGACTGGGCGTCGGCACCCTCCTCTGACGGGGAAAACAGGAAGTCAGCTTCAAGCACACGTTTGTAAAGCATTTTGCACAAAAAAACGCAAAAAAATAAATAAAAATAAGTTAGTAGAACTCAAAATTTCTATGTAACACTCCAAAAACCTAAGTTGGCAGAACTAAAAAATCTTTGTAAACTCAACCGCAGTGAATTTAAGTAAGGAAAAAAAACTCAAAAAACCAAATGCATCACGTTACTTAGATAATTTAAGTTCTGTCAACCTCTTATTTTTTTTTTTTCAGTGCAGTGATTTATTCCTAAATGTGCAGATTTATGATCATAAGAGGTTTTAAAGTCCCTATTTGGTGTCAGAACCTTCTTCTTCAACACTTCCTGGAGCCTCTTTGACAAAAAATCATTGAAATATTCAATTTAAATTCAATTCAATTTTATTTATATAGCGCCACATCACAACAACAGTTGTCTCACAGCGCTTTCCAAACAGAGCAGGTCAGACCCTACTCTGAAGTTAATTACAGAAACCCAACAATTCCCACCATGAGCAAGCACTAGGCGACACAGGCAAGGAAAAACTTCCTTTTAACAGGCAGAAACCTGGAGCAAAACCATGGCTCAGGACCATGTACCACCAAGTATAGCTCTCTTAGTTTCTTCGAGTGAAAATTAGGTGCAAAAATGAGTTACAAAGCTGTCAGTGTTCATTGAGAATTTATTTTTAAAGACTTTTAAAAGCCTGGAGGTTTTTTGTTCAAGATCGAGCTAGTCTGGCTGATTTCGGAACATTGCATAAAGACTTTGTGGTTCCTCATGATGCTTAACCCTCATCCCACCGGACTCTAGGAGGAAGTTACCTATGGCCAGGTGAACGGAGAGCAGCGGCTGGCCCAGCGTCAGAGCCCACAGCTGCAGGCTGTGCATGGACTTCACGGCCTTCACAGTCAGCAGCACCTCCTTCACCGAGTTAAACTCGATTCCTTTGGGCGACCCTGGAAAAAACATAGCACCAGATCCAACAGCGTTCATGAGTCCAAAACCATCATTCTCCTGGTTTTGTTTCTACGATGTCGCTAATGCTAGCTGGGATTTCAGAAAAGATCATCCTGAGATTTTGCTTCTCGATGGAGAAGAAGCTGCTCATTTGATCTGCTTTTTATCCTCTGTGCGTGAGCGTTTAAAGACGTCTGGAAGGGCAAAGCCTCCAGCACGGGCGGCCATGTTTAACACGCGAGTGCACGCGGGTTTGAAGCTCTTAGCAGCATTTGGAGCTGACGTTATCAAAGCCTGGTTGCTCCGACTCTGCCCCAGGCGGGAAAAGCCTCTGCTTCAGCTCTGAAAAGCAGCTTTCTCCTCTTTCCAGGTCTCCTCCCCAACATATGTCGATTAGTCTTATTCTGAGACTTTTCCTATGCTATCTCAAGCTATCAAACATCCAAAAAAGGAGTCCTGGAACTCACCTCTGTGGTTGTGCTTAAGGGACATTTTCAGGCTTTTCCAGTTTTTCTTTTTTTTACTTCATCCCACTGAACTTTCTTCTCTTCCCATTTTGAATAGAGTCCCTTAATATTTGCAGGCTGAGTAATTTGGGAGGCTGACCTTTCAGGAAAAGGCAGTCTGTTGCTGTCAGAAAATGTTACACGAGAGGAAAGAAGGAGCCTCGAATGCTTTGTGCTTTCGGTTGTAGGTCGAGACTCTAATTCCGGCTTACAGCTGGGAGCAAAAATCTAATTTCACCTTCGGAAGTTTGAGGTTAATCAACCCCATCTTACACATTTAATGTCATTCATTTAAAAAGTGAACTCAGGTAGGAAATCCTTCATCAGTAAATGTCGACCCGGTAAAACTTTGGTCCGGGTATAGCTGTCAGTTTTCTCTCAGAGACTTTTTATCATGCATATTTGCAGTATATTTCAGACGTTTTTCTGCGCATTTTTAAATTCATTTTTAGATATTGAATTGTTCTCATGAGGAAGTTTTTCTTTTTAAGTTGACCGAGAAAAAACTAAATCTTTTCGTAAAGCTGAGCCTGGCCTCCATTAATCTGACCATATTTTTATTTTGTTTTGTTCGCGTTCCCACTATGGCAAAGAAAAAGCAACAATTCCACCACTTTGTCTCACAGAAATAGAGTTGTTTTTGAAAACCAGAGGGAGAGAGTTGGGTACCTTCCATGAGAATCCTGAAGACGTCTCTGAGGATGGTGACAGTGGTGCAGAGGACAAAGACAGAAAACAGGAATGTACAGATGGGATCTGCTACTTTGTATTCAGGCTGAAAGAGCGAAAAGATGTTAATTTAATGAGTGAATGAAGATGGTGATTTCCACAGTCAAGAGATACTAGAGTGCTTCGGGCCAAAGAGAAAAAAATATGATGAAATTACTGCTGAACTGCTTCCATCATGCATTTATTTACACTTACAGTGAGGGAAATAAGTATTTGACCCCTTGCTGATTTTGCAGGTTTGCCCACTTACAAAGAATGCTTATTTTTCCTCATCAGATGGTTATCAATTTTTATAAATTCATATGATGTGAATTTCTGGAATTTTCTTTGGGATTCTGTCTTTCACTGTTCGAATGTACATATGATTAAAGTTATAGATCGTTGCGTTCTTTGTAAGTGGGCAAACCTGCAAAATCAGCAAGGGGTCAAATACTTATTTCCCCCACTGTAGATGTAATTAGACATCTTAATAATGACAAGCAGGACTAAATCTACTAAAGTTATGATTGGATGGAGCTTCTGCTATAACCAGAATCTGAAATATTTCTAAATATGTGTCGGTTTAAGGTCAGAATTTGATGGAAATCTGACCCGGAAGTAGATGATCAGCGCCGCCACGGTGACGCCAACGCTCTGCAGCAGGTCTCCCACCACGTGGATGAAGGCGGCGCGGACGCTGGTGTTGCCATGGCCACCCAGGAGGCCGTGGGAGTGGCCGTGGCCGGGGGGGCTCCGGCCGTCCTCGTCTATCTGCTGGTAGCCGCTGCCGTGGGGGTGGAGGGTGGTGGAGTGGTGGAGGATGTAGGCCATTCTGCACACATTTTTGGAGAGTGACCACAGAAGCTAGTGGCAGATTTCAGAGTAAACCGGAGCTTCATAAGGCCGTTTTCGGCTTTCTGGCTGTATTTGAGCCTTCTGTGTTGTTGTTACCTCAAAGGATGCGTTTATCTTTGAGCCTCAGCCTGCTTTTTGACTCACATAAGCAATCATTTAGCTTTTTTCGTTTGGTTTTTTGACAGAGCCCATCGGTCATTTAGACTTTGATTGAAAAGAGTAAATAAAGCTGAAATAAAGCTGCTCACAAAGCTCCTCTGGCACCACAACAGGCACATACTGTATCATACCGGTCATTTTAACCATTTAAGGCAACATTTAATCATAGATTTTTCTGAGACCTATGACATCATCTTGAAGTCAAACCTTTCAAAAACCTTTCAAAATGTATTTTCCTATTTTTTTGCATCTTAGTTTATAGTAAAAAAAAAATCCAGAAAATGTTAATGTATACTTTGTCCAAAAAAAAACATACAAATAAGGCCAAATATGGAAAAAATGTCATTATTTCTTATCCATCTTATCCTGGTCAGGCTTTACAGGGTTAAGCTCACTCTAACCAAAACTATCATTACAATGAATTGGACTCTAATTGGCTTTTAAGGGTGAGAGATATAAATAAACTGAATTGAAGTGAATGGGAAACTGGCTCAGGCTTCAAATGCCTGCATACTTCATGCAGATTGCAGCTTTAAATGGAATATTTACATCTTTTACCTCGGAAACTTGGAAACTGTTAAAAGAGTTTCAGATTTGGTCGGAAGACAAGAAGAACTCACATGATATTTACGATGACGGCGCACGCAGAGGTGAGTAACATCACATGTCCTTCGATCTCATAGTCGTTGCGGACAATCCTCTCGATGGCTAAATACACCAGGGCTCCCGTCACGATCCAAATGGAAATGACGGAGATGAACGCGCCCAGGATTTCTGTGGATAGAGGACATGTGGAAGGGTCACTTTGACGTGTGCATGAATTCATTTTATTTCTATTTTTTACCCATAGAGTAGATCCAAAGAAGTTCAAAAAGGTTCCTTTGAAAATACTTAATTCTGTACCCCAAAACTCAAGAAAAAAACGTCCACTTTTCATTATGTTATCTTCCTCCACATTTTTTAAAATCATGCTAAGCTGGTTCATTTTTAAAATCCTGTTTCTTTAATGCTTTTTAAAAAAAAACTACCACAGAAATCACTTCTTTGTCTTTCAGACCAAATACAAAGAGCTAATTTCAATGCAATCTTTTAGTTGTGTTTCCATTTAATTGTGAAATCATCTGAAAGCAAACCTGTGAAATCTTGGTGAACAGAAAACAATGTGTGGATTGAATGTTTTCAGGATAGGCGACACAGACTTTTCGGACAGTAATGGATAGTTTTCCATTCGTTGAGGCAATTCCAACTCATGATTCGGTTAGAATATGTGACCTCCAGTGGTTGTGAGAGCAACTGCAGGAGGGGATGAAGGGATTTCTAACCCAAAACCAAATCATGTGATGCTTTTACCTGGCTGCAAACCAGGAAGTGACAAGAGTTTTTCAGTTTAACGTGTTTGTGTTTGTGATTCAGTGTTAGTCCATCTAGGTGTGTATCTTCCCCCTCTGATCTGTTTTGCTGACCTGATCTGTGCCAGCCAAAGTTCATGGTTTTGGTTGGCGGTCTGGAGGAGATCCACAGGGAGAACAGGCTCACCATCATGCTGCCAAAGTCTGTCAGGAGGTGGGCGGCGTCGGTCATGATGGCCAGGCTGTGGGCCAAGTAGCCTCCTGCGGGAAACCAATGAAAGAAGAGGAAAAAGTCAGCAAAAAGCCGCCAAACTCCCAGCAAATGTCCCAAAGGGAAAAAATACAGTGGTCATCTTACCAAAATCCAGAAGACACCAAACAAATGTCAGTTTAAGGGGTTTGGTGAGCGTAACATAAGAAAAAAGTCTGAAGGCTGCATCAGCTCCTGTTCTCTTTTGACGGATTGCCTTGATTTTTTTTTTCTTTTGTGAACTTTTTTTTACATCTTAAAGATTTATAGGCCAGTCTTAAGTGTCTAGCTCAGTGTTTTTCAACCTTTTTTGAGCCAAGGTACATTTTTTCATAGAAAAAATCACAAGGCACAATACCAACCAAAAACAAATCTGTAGCCGCCTATAGTAACACTATACTTATTCTCATTTTATTCTTATCTTAACTTAAGTGTCTTGAATAGGAATCAAATAAACACAAAAATTAATTTTGATCATATTTTATATTTTTTTCTTTCAAATTGCACTTAACATGTCCACTTCAATAAACAAAATTATATACAAAATCTAGTCATAAGGAATTATTACGTGATTACGCCACCAGTCACCAGTACAGCACAGACACTCAAAAATGGCACATTATTTCCAGATAATTAATTCTTTACCAAAAAATCTTTTTAGACCAATTAGGTGAAATAGGATGATTTTCTACGGCACACCTGACCATCACTAACGGCACACTAGTGTGCCAAAGCACAGTGGTTGAAAAACACTGGTCTAGCTAACTGGCACTATCAATACAAGGACTGAACTCACAATAAATGACGTGAACATATCCATTGAATCGGAATGGGCTGTGTTGAAGCAGGGACGTGTCTAAAACCTGCTTTAACAGAAGTCCTCTTTCAAGTCAAATATAAAGCAAACAGATTGGACACTTCTTAGTATATTGCAGCAAATCTTAAGGAGAAAAAAGTTTTGTTTTGGACTTTTCTTGAAAAAGATAAAGTTCCCTCTGACATCTGAGGGACTACAGCCCCTACTACATCATGACCACGCATGCCAGGCCAGAATCTTTTACCTATGACCTCCCCGACCATGAAGACCAGGCAGACGGCCGAGGCCACGTACAGCTTCCTCTTGGCCAGCTGCTTGTCCCCGGCCTCCTCGCGCGGCGGGGCCCGGGGCCCGTGGCAGTGGGCGCCCACGCGCCGCTTCAGCTCCATGGCGCCCGCAATGCCGCCGTTCTTAAAGGGGAAGTCCGGGTACGGCTCTTTGGAGTCCGGGAAGGAGCTGACGGGGCAAAGACAGCACGGATTAGTGACGAGAAAGAAGGCTTTTTTTCACCCGATTGTGCCAAAACTGACAAAATTAGAACAAGGAGTAAAAAATCATGAAACTATTCGACTAGAATTGACTTCTTGGAGGTTTACCAGATTGGATTGGGGTTTTATTTAACTTCGCATGAAGGACCAAGTGTGTGAATACGCTGGAAATGTAAATGTCAATTAAGAAGCAAGAGCTAACTTTCAATAAATCGTCTCTTGTTTTAGGCCTCACGACGACCCGAATCCAGACCAGATTCAACTGGTGGATCTGCCATTGGGAGATAGCATCAACTTTACCGTCCCCCGGGCGTTGGGTGGATTGATTTTCTCTAGTGGATGTGACGGCGTTTGGCAAAAGCTACAGTGGCTTACAAAGTGGAAACCTGGATAAGTGTTCAGCAATCAATGTTCAGTTGAGCGGATGAATGGCGTGATGCGTGAGTCTGTGCAAAGCCGGATCAAATCGACTGGCATTGATAGTGGACACAACTAAACCAACTATCTCTTGAAAGTACTAGCAGTATACCATTTAAACTTCTAAATCTAGAGAACACAGACTTGCTAGGTTTAAATTTTACACTTAGATTAATCATTTTAGTATGTTTGCAGGTCGATAAAGACATAAAGAGGATAGTGATGCTTTCTATTAATTAGGAAAGTGACACTCAGCCATTAAAAGTGAAAAGTATTCATCACCTTCTCCCATTATTGTCTGGTCCATTTTAATGCTTAGATTATCCATATTTGACCATTTCTACACAACAAACTGGGATGTTTGTGTGCCCCGACGACTCAAAACCCAGTTGTGTATCCACTAGAAAGTGGCCTTTGTCAAAGCTGCTTAAATCTTTGCATTAGCCATTTATTTACTTCCAATACAGCAACTTGGCTGCCTGATATTTCCCACCTAAGGGTCATAATGTTTAGCCCGAATGGCTTATACTTCCCCTCTGACAACACAAACATTGACCTGGACTAGACCTACAGCAAAAAAAAAAAAAGTTGACTTTTCCATTTTGATCCTCACACACACACACACACACACTCTCAGGTTGCTCCTCACCGAGTGCAGTGAGGGTGATGCAGTGATGCGGCTAATGAGGTGGAAAAAGCCAATTTGGCTTCACTCGAGATAACCATGCACACAATTTAACTCACACACACAACACACAGGTGATAGCCCGCATTATATGATTCTCCTTTATCACACACCATCTCGTCTTATTGGATGTCCGAGCTCAAAAGAACCAGCCGAGTGTAAAGCAGAGTCTGCTCCATTATACACGTGGGATTAGAAAGCACAAACTCCACACTCACAGAGCACAAATGAATCCACATCCAATCATCACATGCATTCTTGCATGCTTTAAAACCTCCAGTTTGATTACATATCCCACAGTGATCTAATTTTGAACGTTTTTTAAGGATATCAGACAATAACATGTTCGGCTGTGACAGAAAAAAGACATGTCAGCATTTGGGGGGGAAGGATTTGAGCTAGCTTCTGCTTCACTAGCTTGTTACTTAGTGTTTTTTGTGAAGAAAAAAAAAATCAAAGATACAGATTATGATTTAATTGTATTTCTGAGAATTTATTCATGTTATAGGTTGTAATATTTGACTAACAGGTTATTTTAGCCATTTTTGAATATGGTTTTTAAGTTTTTAGCAGCACTTTTAAGCTAACGATGACTAAGCTAATGGGTAAACACCATGGGTTAAATCAGGATTTATATCTTTTAAAACTAAATACTAAATACATAATGGTATTATTCCAAAAGTAAACCTTAGAATCTTGATAGCAATCATTTATTAAGATAAAAATATACATTTTATATATCTGAGACCATATTTTCCCCATGGCATTTATGGGTTTGTTGATATTTCCAGTTGGTTTAAAGATTACATGTTCTTACCAATAAATTTCATAAGCTTGCAGGAAAAAATACAAATAAATCATATTTCTTACGCTTATTATTTTTAACTGACTAACCTCTTTTGATTTATTTTGTACTCGTGCAAAAATAAGAAATACTGGCTAGTAGTATCCTTCTTTATTGTGAACTGATTTGACTTGTGATTCTCTGGATGAGCAGAAGGTATTTGTCGGTTTTATCATTAAAAAAGATACAAATTGTAATGTAATTGAAATGGAAGCTCAGTGAGGTTTTACAGGAACATCACTAAGAATTCAGTGGTGATAGAAACCAACAAAAATGTAGGTGGAAAAACTATTGTGTTTGAATCCACATAATAGCTTCATGATTTGAATGTGGAAAATGTGTTGGAAATAATCTGAGATTTTTCCGTTGTTGCATCAGTAAATGTCTTTAACAAAACATTATTTGGGAATAAAAAAGGAAAAGGAACATATTTCAAGGTTGTTGCTGTCATTTTCTTTCTTAGTTGTGCAACTCTTTGTCAATTTAAAGGTTCCATCTTCTCTAAAGTAAATATTTTCCGTCTTTCTGATAATCTTTTAATGATAAGCTCCACATCTTTGGATTTTGGACTGTTGGCCCGACAAAACAAGATTTCTGGGAACCTGTGGTGAGCAAATGTAGATCAATTTGTTTTTTAAAACGTTGGGAAGCTGGAAATTTTGCTTTCACGTCTGTGAATAACAGTCTCATCAGTGTGGTTCATATGAATCATTTCTCACAAATCTCTAGGACAATAAACAACCAGGAGGCTTCACAAATCTTGTTGAGTGTCATTTACAGCGATTTCTGGGCCTGGTGTGTAGAAAACTAATGAACTAATGAATAAAAAATTTCGTCAATGACCCCCAACTGACACAAACAGTTTGCTAACAAATAATCCCCAATATCTGACATTCATACTGTTAACCATCCATTACCTTTGAGAAAGCCTGAAATAATATTTTGTTAATAATGAAGAGTTTCATTCTACATTTTCACGAATGCTTCTGTAAGTTTTTTTCATTTTACAAAGGAAAAAAACTGCTGCATCGGTGACCTATGAATTAATCTAAGATTTCAGGTAAAAACACGGAGAATAAAAAACTCAAACTGAATTTTTGATAAAGGCCTTTGTACAAATGATAAATGGAGCTTATGGGTATATTTCTGTAACATTTTCCATATAAATGTCAACGAAAATATAACGTTTTTATGGACTGTTTGCAGCCAGTTGGCCAAAAAAACAAAACAATTATGTGATATAAAATATTGCCCGATAAATATCCCCTCATGCACGCGCACAAGAACATCGCAAATGGTGCATGAAATGTCGAACGTGGTGCAACGTGCACATCTGTCTGCCTCCCCCCACGAGCCCCGAAAATATGTTTCTTTTGGGGTGTTTGCTTTTTTATTTCTTTATTCGGAGGCCTCTCGCTGCAACGGAACGTTTCCTCTCCTGAATCTAAACATTTGGTCTTATGTTCTTAAATATCAGCGTGAGAAGAAGAAAAAAAAAGAAGTGAGAAAACGCCAATAGGGGCGTGAAACAGCTTATCTAAAATCTGTGTCATCAAATCATTCCATTGATTCCAAATTGGGAGAATCACGAGTCCTGTGGAGATAAGAGAGAAAAAAACGACATCTTCCGAAATTTCAGCAGATTAAAATAAATCAGGGTTGATTCGGTTTATTGTGAAGTTTTCCTGCATGCTCAGCTGGTTTGAAGGAACCGGATTTACCTGTTCTCCCACGTGACGAGCCACCAGGTGTTTGGCTGAAGGCTCTATGCAGCTCTTTACGCACAAAATCGTTTTTATATATATTATACCTGACTATTATATTTGAAATAGTTTTTTTTTTTTAAACGAACCTTTACAGGCCTGTTTTTAGGCCCTTCTCTATTCTCCACAATAGCCATTTTATTAAAATAATACACATTTTAAATGCTTACATGCCATTGCGTAAAGGTCTTTCGTTTAAATTGACGCTTATTTTTCTGCCATTTAGATTAATCTTTTGTTAACGATAAAAACACCTGCCTGTGCAGGTCTGCAGAGTTGATCCAAACCTCGCCTCACGTCCCCTCTCTGAGCTCTAACCGCGCGCACGGGGCCGCCTCGCGCTCCCTCTAATGACAGATGATGAGTTTTTGGCGCTGCTCGGGTGAACTGGCCCCGGGGGCCATTTGTCACAGGCTGTCCAGAAACGAGCCGAGCGTGGAAATGAATTTGTTCACTCGCATATAAAAAATAAAAAAAAACAGCCCGCAAGAGCTCCACGCGCACCCCCGGTAACAACTGCTCCCCCTCTGCGCGCTCCCGTTACGCACAGCAGTGGACGGCTCCCTGCGCGCGCCACGTTCACGTGAGCCTGAACCAGAGCTCAGTTTTTGTTGAATTTGATCACATGCACGACACATTTAACGCACAATCAGTTTGGGTAACTAAAAGGTGTCTAGATTTCTCACCTTTGCAATTTTAGGGAATACATCTTCGCGCTCTTCTCGTCTATCAGATGAGATTTCTCCGAATTTGCGGCGTTATTATCCATTTTTTTCCAGCCTGCAGTAATTCAAGGTCCAGACAGAAAAAAAGAGACACAAAAAAAGAGAAGTAAAAGTCTTTTATCCTCTGGGGTGAGA